TAGAAGAAAAGGCACAGACTTTCGAGTCACAGGTCTTGACTGGCCATAAACTGAGACACCTGGCAATTTTTCTAACCTCTGACTAAGAGGGGCTGAAAGTTACTATCTCCCAGTGATTTGCACAGATTAATGTTGAAAATGTACATAGAGCCAACATAAGGACAAAACAGAAACCAAGCTACTAGTCATGTCTGCTTCCCGCAACTACCTCACTCTACTCTACCCCCACTCCCCCTTCAGATTCTGGTAATGCAATCTGGTTATATAACAGTTTCCCCTTTAAATGTGAACTATGTGAATGCTGGGTTAGTGAAGACAGTATCCAAATAAAAAATATTTACAGACAGGCCAGGCTTAACAGAGGCTTCCCTGCCCCCCGGCCCCGACCCCAAGCTTTCTACAAAGTGCCCACAAAATTCCCAAAGTTCGTAATATTTCCAATTAATCCTCCCCTCATATATATTTGAGGGCAGAATATATAATCCATCATTGTATCCCCAGTGCTTAGCAAAATGCCTGGTATATAAACACTGCCTAAATTTTGAATAAGTAGATGACCTTCCCAAATCTTAAGATATTGGTTCTTAAAGACCCTCCCTTGGCAGGGAAGAGACAGCAAGTTACTAAATTATGACAATTCAATTTTGAAAGAACTACAACAGTTGTGTCAATAAATTGCAATGGAAACACAAAGGGTAGAACTAATTTTGCCAAGGGTATATGAGACAGCTTGATGGAGAACTGGTTATAATCACAGTAACAATAATAAAAAGAACACTAACACATATCAAGGGCATACCATATGTCAAATACTATTCTAAGCCATATATATATGGCTTAGAATAGTATATATATGTGTGTGTGTGTGTGTGTGTGTGTGTTTTATTTTACCTTCCCAAATGACTATATGAAATAGGTACTATTTTTCCCATTTTGTGTGTGTGTGTGTGTGTGTGTGTGTTTCATTTTACCTTCCCAAATGACTATATGAAATCGGTACTATTTTTTCCCATTTCACAGAGAAGAATGGTGAGGCACAGAGATGTTAAGTCTCTTCGCTAAGTCATATGCTGTAATATGCAGAAGTGAAATTTGAACCCACACTTTAACCACTGTACAGAGGAAGAAGGGAGCTCATTCCTGGCAGAGGGAAAAGGACCTAAAGGATAAAGGACTCTGTCTAGTCATGATAAATATTTAGTCTTAACAATGCAAACAGCCGAGGAGCAAAGGAGGCTGTACTCTAGTAGTGACACAATGGAGTATGGTCCATTAAGAAACGGCTTGACAGAGTGGGTAAGACACACTCCCAAAGCTCTTCCAAATGTGAGCTGTATATCATTGGGCAAGTTACTTAAGCTCTGTGTGCCTCAGCTTTCCTATCTGTAAAATGAAAATAATAACAACTACCCCAGGATTTTGTACAAAGGATTATATTACTATGTATAAAGTGATTAGGACATTGCTTGGCATGTAGTACTTGCTAAAATAAGCAAGCAGATGAATACTACAAGTGGGAGACGATGATGGGGGCTGTTATAATATGCCAGGTAAGAAAGAACGAAGACCTAAGTAAGCAGTAACAGTGGAGACAAAGGGAGATCTAAATTAAGAAATTTCTCAGGTAGAACAAAAGTATTTGGTGGGCATTTAGACTTGGATGGGGGCTGGCTAGTGGTGTGTGGTAGTACCTAGGGGAATACCCAAGACCACCCTAACCTCTGACACCAACTATAAGATCAGGGTCCCCATGACCACTTTCAGGTTTACTTATTAGCTAGGAGAACACACAGAACTCACTGTTATAGTCACGCTTATGGTTATGGTTTATTACAGCAAAAAGATATGGATTAAAATCAGTCAAGGTAAGAAATGCATGAGGCAGAGGACAGAAAATTTCAAAGCATGAAGTTTCCAGTGGCAAGTGTGTGAAACATGGGTAAGGATAACTTTTCCTTGCCACAGTGTGTGATAATTCGCATAGGAGTACTGCCAACTATGGAGGCTCAGTGTCTACATTTTATTTTGCCTCAGCCATACAAAGATGATAGACAGCCTTATGTGGCCGATCGCTGGCCCCTCCAGAGGTTGGAGATCAAAGGTCACAGGCCAAGCTGATGTTGTGGCCCAAAGCCCTCACCATAAATCATATTGTTAGACTTCACTGTGTGACTTAAGCCCCCAGGAAAACAAAGACACTCTTAGGCAGGGTATGGCAAGGACTTAGAGACCACCTCTAAGAACCTGAGGGAAAATGCCAGACCTGTTTTTGAGTAAAGGTCATTCTTTACTGCAAAGGCAGTGAAGGTGTGGAAAAGAGTGGACATTAGATGGATGTGATGCCTTCAACTGAGATAAAGTATGCAAGTAGCAAATAACAAAAAAGAATTGGAAAGGAAAAATAATAATATGCTTTTGAGTTTGCTTGGCATAAAACTAAGTGAAGTTACCAGAAAACACCTAGAAGTTCGGGACTGAAGCTTGGGAAGGACTGGATAGCTTGAAATGACAGCACAGTGAGGGAAGTTTATAGATATGCCATGAGGGGCCTCACTGAAGGAGAACATGCAGGCAACAGGCAGAGCAAAAACGGAACCAGGGTAAACTCCAACTTATAGGGCTGCTCAGAGGGTGACTGTGCAAGAGTGTTCATTACAAAACAATGAAATTAAACTAAATACTAAACCTTCTCCTCTACCACAGGAAACTGAAAATACTGAGCAAATTACTTTCTAGGTAGGACTAAAATACCCTTGCCTTTCCCAGGACGTAGACTGCAAACTAGATTGTACACAACATTATGTCTTGCAAATAAACCGTCAAAAAACAAAAATATTTTTTTCTTCCCCCATGCTATTTTTCATGCTCAGACTACTTTCTAAGCTGAGAAAGCCTTTATTTTGCCTATGGCAAATTTAGCACATGTTTATGCAAAACTTAAATTACCATGAAAACCCAACAAAAAGGTAGATGAAGCAGAAGGCACAGCTAATTAAATGGATTTGAGGTTCACTGCTCATTTTGTTTAGGGTCAAGTAATACTTTATAAATTTGTCTGAGCATATTAAATACAAAAATAACTCATTAAAGGGTATGGGCAGCCAGATTACTATAAAGTCTGCAGACAATATACCTCCTGAAATCTGTGGTTTTTAAAAAACCATCCGTGTATGTATGAGACGCATACAGAATAGAAGTTGGCAGTGGGATTTCCTGAGTCAGAGCCTGGACGCAAATCTCAGCTCTGCCACTTACTAGATGGATGAACTTAGGAAAGTTACTTAAACTCTATCCAGTTTCCTCAGGCTTGAAAAATGGGAAACAAACCTCCTAAGTTCATTCTGAGGATCACAGTTAGTGTTGGGCGGCATGTAATAAGCATGCAACAGGAGTTTGGTTACTTGGTTCAATACATTGCATACTGAAAACCTCATGAATTTACTGTTCACTTCACTATCCATTCTTTCTCGTTTATTCTCTGTGACAGAAAATACCCATTTTAAAAACTGGTTTTGAAATAAAAAGCACAAAAATAAAGTACATTTTCATATTACAGTATTTACAAGTTATAAAACCTGCTTAATTTGTCCTAAAATTATCTCACAATCACCTCAGACTTAATCTCTTTGTTTTAAAAAGTGCTTTAAACTTCCTTTGTATAGAAGGAACTGCTACTGAGTTGATCCAACAAGAGATGACTAAGAGAGCCATCTGATCAAGTTCCAGATATTATCTATAGCCGTGTCACTTTTCTTCCCTGAGCAGAATGCACCAGGTTTTTGTCCCTAACTTCACAAGCAATGCTCTCTTCCCTCCGTCTAAAATGCCCTGCTCCTTTTGCCAAGGTGACTACAGACAGTCCTCAGGTTACATCGGACTCGACGTACGTCGTTTCGTGGTTACATCGCCATCTCCCATTTATTTATATAAAAAAAAGTTCCATCATTTTGACGTATGTACATATGTGCTTTATGTTTTTTATTATTTATTTACCACAAATAAAGGTCAGGAATTATCTTTCTTTTACATTTTTTTTACTGTTTCACTCATTACTGCTGTGTATGTGCTCCATGTGAGTGACGTAGGTGCTTATGTAGGTGGGTTCAACTTACGGCGAAAATCGCGTTACGTTGCGCCTTAGGAATGGGTCTCCGATGTAACCCGAGGACCTACTGTATATAAGTCACCAAGACCTGACTGCTCCTCAGGCCTTTGCTGGCACCGTCAGATAAGCCCAGGTACTCTGCCTATTTCTATCAGGATACTTACGGAATTAGAGCTTTACAGAGCTTTAACCATGTCCCCTCTCCGCCGTGACCACAGACTAAAAGCGCAGTGAACACAGGGACTGTCTTGCTCTTTGCATCCCACAGGGCACAGTATGTGAAGAGCTCAGTATGAAGAGCCCAGAGAGTAACATTCCAAAAAAGGAAAAACTCACTAAACATACAAATCAGACTTCCCTCACTTACTTCTACGGGTTCAATGCTTATCTGTTTTCTACGATACATTTAAGGAATCTGTGTCTATATGTGTGCGCAAGCTCCCACGTGTGTTCAAAACATCGCTGGCCATACAGAGGGAAGAAATATGATTGCCAAAAAAAAAAAACTTTAACGAAGATAAAGCAGTGCTGGCTTTAAAGATGTGCTGTATTATCTTCTGAATTTCAGAAACAGGTCAAATATCCTCAAAAGCTTAAAAGGGATTTGTTACAGTATAGCTAATTTTGTCAAATTGGTGGGCATGCCTGTGTCAAAGATCAAAGCAACTGTTGAAGGCAAGGGCACAACAACTTGTGTTTGCTGTCACTGCAGCTTTTACCTCCCTTACTGTGTCCCTATGACTGAATCCTTCTCCTCCTGGCTCTTCCCTTCTGCAGCCTCCGTGCAGCCAAGGTTAGACTCCTCTCTTTCATCCTCACAGCGCCCTCCCCCACGACGGCTCCTTTCTTATTCTCCGGCAAAGAACTGAATAATTCAGAGGTGAATTAGACTAACCTTGCTGCGCTCCAGGCATCTCCAAGTTCTCTGGAATACTGTGTGTCAAAATGGTCCAGTACCACTTTGCAAAGCTGTTTGGCAAGCTTCCTCTCTGGTTTTGCTGTCAGCTATGATGATAAGAAAAAGTTGCTGACACACCTTTGATATTACAAATTTATTGAACTTCCACATTAGCAGTCTTTTTTCTTAAGGACACGTCAGATAATTACCAGTTCTTGCAATGGGAGCAGCACCTCACACACGAGCAAACTGTACTACCGTGCTCTGCCTACTGATTTTAAAAAGTGTTTCTCCAGTCGACTATGGCTCCGATGTAAAGCAATGGCAAAAGCAGAGTCTAGCGCTGTTAACGCAGAAAGCCAACGGAGGTAAGTCATTTTAGATGTTAACATTAGGGGGGGCTGGGGGAGACGCATATGGGAAGTCTGTATTATCTTTGGAACTTTTTGGTAAATGTAAAGTTATTCCGAAATAAAGTTCATTTAGAAGAAAAGTCACTGGTTTCCTCGGAGACTTCCTTGCAATTCTGTTTCATTTACGCGTCCAGGAAAGGCTTATGGAGGGCCGACTAAGTAACCGGCACTGCTCTGCGCTCCCAGGGCTGAGCGTGTCAAAATGGTCCAGTACCACTTTGCAAAGCTGTTTGGCAAGCTTCCTCTCTGGTTTTGCTGTCAGCTGCGGCGGAGGTGCGTCTTGGACGAAAACCACGGGCAGCGCTCACGAGCTAGCGTTCTGGACAGTGAAATCAGGGAAACCCGGAGATCCCCCCAGTTCCCCGGTCCCAGCCCCCTCCGGCCCCGCCCAGGCCCTTCCATAAGCGTCCGGCCCGACCCTCACCCGGGCCAACATCATCCCGCCAGGAGATGCCAAACAAGAGGTCTCCACCGTCCAACATCTAAAGCACCAGGGAACCAAAAGCGCCCGGCTTCGGCGTTCCGCCGGAATTCCCTTCCTTGACGTACTTTCAACTTCTCGCGAGATACTGCTTTGCCAGCGTTATCGAAATCTCGCCAAAGTGGCGTAGGTCCCGCGAGAGGCACTCGCGGAGTTCCTTCCATCCGCGGCTGGAGGAGGCGGAGCCTACTCCTGGGGGCGTGGCCGGGGCCCCTGGGCGGACCCGCCTTAGAATTCCGGCCTCGCGCTGAGCCGGCCTTGACTTTTGTGCTCTTGGGGCTCCGTAAAAATTGTTTTTAAATGTTCTCAGAGGCGAAGCTAGTTGCCGAATCAATCTACCAAATCTCATTTCGTCTCCGTTAGCCCAGATACGCAGAACTCAGGATAAAAGGATGGATAAGGTGAAAGAGAAATGGTCACATTTCCTAGAGATGGCCCATGGGGTAATCTTTTTCTTTTAATGAGGGTTACATGGTCCAATTGATTAAACAAGTAGAGCGCTTTAGCGCAAAGGCTAGGAATCAGTAAACGCTCGAATGTTAGCTGCTGCTGTGCATTATTTTCACTGTCATGATCTTTATGATTATCAAGTTCTGATACCAAATGCCTGAAGGTCAAAATGACCCGCACACCGGCCCCCTCCCCGACCTGTGCTAGGGGCGGTGTTACCGGTTCTCAGGTGAGGGACCGCAGTTTGTTTGTTCTTTAAATGCTACTTTTCAGCTGCTCCCTTGTAACAGCAATCAGCAGCCTAACAGAGAAAACCAGTGCTTAATGTGATCCCTGATATTTAATGAGCATCATGATTTTGAGACCCTTGACACTCAAAGTATCAGTGTAGGTGTGTAGACTATAGGTGCAAATCTTAGGACCATGTAAACGAGTAAATGTTATTACCACTAATGTGATTTGAAGCTTAATTTATTTACTTAAACAAGTTCTCCAGGAATCTAAAAATAAATTTAGATTTGGTCGTAAAAAATATATATAGTATTAAGAAGTGAAATGAGCACTGTGAATATGCTTAAACTACAAAGCATATTCACTATCTAGAATACAGCATCTTAATAAGTTACTACTAAACAGGAAAGTATTTTTTTACAATCTTAAGCAATTTCATTGTGAAGTCATTTATCTAAGAAATGTTTCAGAATAAGTATACTTTATACTCTCTTATACTGTTTATGGATATTCATATTTACATAAGACATCTCTCCAAAAACTTCATGTTTATATAGAGGTTTATGTGTCAAAAAGTAAAGATAGACTTTATAGTAAAACAATCTGACATTAAGAGAACATTAAGCCTAGCCGGTTTGGCTCAGTGGATAGAGCGTCAGCCTGCGAATTGAAAGGTCCCAGGTTCCATTCCAGTCCAGGGCACATGCCCGGGTTGTGAGCTGATCCCCAGTGAGGGACTTGCAGGAGGCAGCCGATCCATGATTCTCTCTCATCATGGATGTTTCTATCTCTCTGTCCCTCTTCCTTCCTCTCTGAAATCAATAATATTTTTTTAAAAAAGAGAACATTAAGATGGCAGAAAAACACAGGAGACACCTGCCATCAAAGCAGGAGAACCACGCAGTTACAGGCACTTGGACGTGGACTTCAGGTGAGCAGCTTGTTAGCTGAGGCTCTCAATTTAGGCTTCCAAAGCCATGTGTACAAATCCCAGCAGACAACCCACTGGGAGTGGGAAGTCAATGTAATAACTTGTATTTTAATTTTATCTAATCTTTAAAAAATGTTTAGGGAGATATATGTATGAAGTACAATAGACCAACGCATATAACTATTACGGGCTGAAACGTATCCCCTCAAAATTCATATGTTGAAGCCCTTAACTCCCAGTCCCTCAGGATGTGACATATTTGGAAAAGGGTCTTCCCAGAGGTGATTAAGTTAAAAGGAGGTCGTTAGGGTGGATCTGACTAGAGTCCTTATAAAAAGAGGAAATTTGGACACGAGGAGAGAACATACACAGAGACAAGGCCATGTGAAGACACAGGGAGGAGGCCATCTGTGAGCCAAGGAGGAGAGATTCCGGAAGAAACCATCCCTACACCTTAACCTGGCATTCCAGACTTCACAATTATGAGAAAATAAATTGCAGTTATTTAAGCCACCCAGTCTGTGTTACTTTGTTATGTATACTCAAAATGCTTACTGAAAGGGATGCATTATTTTAAAATTTGAAGACCACTGGTTCATTCCCTAAGTCATATATTCTGTTTCCTCACCAGCACACAGAAGAAATTTACAACTCAGGTTCTAAACATGCAAATGATTTTTGTCCTGATTTTCCTTTAATTATAAGCTAATCCCCTTATTAAAGGAAATTCATTTATGATTTCCTATTTTTTTCTCAAAAGAGGGCTTCTATTCTTCTGTTTCCACAAAGCTATAGAATTATCACCATTTTGTTAATTTATACCACATTTTAATATGCATTTTGAAATATCTGAATTTTTTGTTCTTTGGATGAGCTGGACTATATATATTTTTTCTTTTTTTGGACTATATTTCTTGGTAAATTAAGTAGTCATTATTAACAGAATTTGATTTGCAACATATACTCCTCTTATAGAAAAACGTATAGCAAAAGGTATTACAATTTATAAGTTACAGCTTCAGTTTCAGTTTTGATAAATTTTTGCTACCTGGAAGCATTGGTTTCTTTAGTGTGGAATGGGATAAATTGAATAATATAAATAGCTTGGCATATAGAACTAAGTAAACTAAAATATTGTCTTAGTAAAAGAACACTTAGTAAGAAATCAACTGCAAATATACTGACTGGCATATTCTACAGTTGAATGTTTCTGAGCTACTGACAGGAAGTTTTACATATTAAGTGAATTCTATATAGTCATTCATATGACACTTAAAAGAGTATTTAATTTTAAACTTGCATAAAAATTTCAAATTTTCTTTCCTATTATAAAAGTAAGCAAAATTACAAAAATTAGTTTGAAAATTTGAGGAAAAAACACAACCAATAACTCTAAAACAGATATTATTAGCATTTTGCAACACTTCTTTCTAATGTTGTTTCCATACAGTTTTATAATTGAAATCAATTAAACATAATACTAGAGGCCTGGCATATGAAATTCGTGAACTGGAGTGGGGGGTGTCCCTCAGCCGAGCCTGCGCCCTCTCCCAGTCTGGGACCCCTCGCTCCTTACCTCCCGCCTGCAGCAGAGGCGGGAGAGGCTCCTGCCACCGCCACTGAGCTCACCAGCCTTGAGCCTGGCTTCTGGCTGAGCCGTGCTCCCGCTGTGGGAGCACACTGACCACCAGGGGGCAGTTCCTGTGTTGAGCATCTGCCCCCTGGTGGTCAGTGCGAGTCATAGTGACTGATCATTCTGACAGTCGTTCCGCCATTCAGTAGATTTGTTTATTAGGGTTTTATTATATAGGATTGTACATGTTATATATGCATTTTACATATAAAGGCATATAGAATTATCTTTCATATAAGTAAAAACATATCTTTTGGTCAGTAGCTTTAACTTAACAAATGACAGACATCAAATCATAGAGAATCATAAGATGATATCTGATTTTTAACTGTCTTTAAATTATTTCCCACATATATGAAACCTTTTGCAAATTTTTTCCATGTAAAATAGCAAAAAAATTATTTTAATCTATCGACTAAAATGTCTTTCAACAATTATATTTTAAAAGCTTTCTATTATTTTATTACCCCAAAGAAATAATTTAAATTTATCAAATGACAAGAAAAAACAGCATACTAATATAAATTATGTTTATTGTTGAAATTGTCATAATTTATGATATATTAATAAAAATGCAGCATATAACAAAATAGACATTTAGCTGTTAAAAGCCACCTGGATTTACAAAACTTCTTTTAAAGTATTTTTAGAATCCTTTAAGAATACAAATTAATTTTTGAGATATATAAAACATGAATTCTGCTTCGTTAAATATTTAATTTCAAAATTACTTTATTTTAATTAAATGGGCTCAGTGATTATTATATACTACAGTAACCACAAATTAAAAAAAAATTTATTCTCAAATTAGATGTATTTTAAAAAGATGGCAAAAGTATGAGTTTAGTTTTTTTTTTTAATGAAGAAATGTAAATGTTATAAAAGAAACCAAAAAGATATACAAATGAGTTTTTTCTCTAAAATCCAGTTCAAAATTTACATCTGTCTCCTTGTGTTGATTTTCCTTACATTTCAGCTGCCTATCACATTTAGGTTGTTAAGAATTTTATATCTGAAGTAGAATGCTAGGTGGGTTCCATGTACAAAACTCAAAAAAGCTGACTTGAGTAATAAGTGACCTGATTAATGAAAGTACAGGAAGTTTAAAATGCAAATAAATGGTGATGCTCTCAAGTAAAACTTTCAAATAATCACACTAAACTGCCTTCAACATACTTCTCATATTATTGTCAGTACAAGTTACCAAGTTGACCAATTTTGAAAAGGTTATATAGGAATCATACTGTTTGTAGTGTTTTTACCGTGATAGAAATATGTGCTTTCAATTAAATGCAACATTATGAATCTACTCCTCAAAACATACATCTAAAAGCCAGACAAATAGAGAATCCTATAGATGCCATTCTTCTGTGCAAGAGAAATGCTATTATTTTAAATTGAGAAATTATTTTGGAATTGTTTCTTTATTCTTGCTTTAGTACCCAAGTATATCCCTGTTATGAGACACAAGTTTCTGAAACCTCAGTAGCTTTTCGGTCTTTTTGCCTTTAATTTCAAGGCACTAAAGCAGGGGTGGGCAAACTTTTTGACTCGAGGGCCACAATGGGTTCTTAAACTGGACCGGAGGGCCGGAACAAAAGCATGGATGGAGTGTTTGTGTGAACTAATATAAATTCAAAGTAAACATCATTACATAAAAGGGTACGGTCTTTTTTTTTTTAGTTTTATTCATTTCAAACGGGCCGGATCCGGCCCGCGCGGGGCCGTAGTTTGCCCACGGCTGCACTAAAGAATTACAATAACCTACCAGTCACTGCAGCTGCTGGTAGATAAAGGAGTGACAAGGAGAAATGATCTCTGAAGGGTTTCACCT